ACGACTCGGACTTGCAGCGAAGCCGTTTGTCACCCTTTGGAGTCAGCGGAGCGGTGGGGGTGATGGGCTGAGCCCCCCCAGCAGCCCCCAGCTCCCCGGGGCTCTCCCCGTGCTGTGCTGGGGGCGCGGGGATGCACATCAAAGCAGATTAGAGAGAGCAGCCAAAGCTGCTCCTGCGACGGTGCAGAGCAGAGCCCGGCAGCTCGCGCCCCCGCTCTGGAGCATCCCACAGCCCCTTTGGGGTTTTTTTCTCCACGCTTTGGCCTCCTGCAGCTGTGCCACCTCTGCATTCAGGGCAGGGGTTCCCTTCCTTCAGGGGACTCCGATTTACCCCCAAACAGGTGCCACAGGGGTGCTCTTGTTTATCCGCATGTGCCAGCTCCTGCAAGGGGAGGCGAGGACGGGACGTGGGGCTGATGCCGCATCCTCTGAGCCCAAGCCCTGGGCTCCCGCTCTCCAAAGACCAGTGAGCACAGGGCTCAGCAGAGCAACCGCAGTCACGCCGGGAAGAATAAAAACACCCTTTAGTTTGGCTTAAAGCTCAACCAGCCTCCGGCCAAGTCTGGTTTCCCCACTGCAGGGGGGCTCACGCAGCTCCACGCCCAGCCACACTGCGGTCACATCCAGCCCCTGCTCGTGTCAAAGCTGCGTCCCAGGATGGGGCGTGCTCGGGCTGACGGCTCCCGATGACCATCTGCCCGCACACCCCGAGGTGGGAGCTCTGCTCTGTCCCGGGCAGCCGAGCGCTGGTCTGATCCAGGCGAGATTGGCCAAAGGCAGCTGGCTCCTGCCTGCGCTCTTCATGAATCTGGACCTACCGCCTCCGTGTGCGGCCAAACCTGAAATGCACTGGCAGGGGGTGCAGCCGTCCTGGACAAGCCTGCTGCCGGAGAGCTGCTCTCCCAGGATGCTGCTGCCCGGGATCCCCCACACGCCCGGTAGCTCTGCGGTGAAGCCGAGCACCCACCCGCCTTCCTGAGAAAGCCAAGGGCCTTGTTCATCCCTCCCTTTCCTGGTGAGGAGAGATGACTCTGTAAAACTCTCACTGCGACAGCCACGTGGCTGGGCTCAGCCTACCTCTGGTTGGGCCGGGCTTGGCCATACCA